TCAGCTGCTCAGCGGTCATCACAGGGTTACACCTTCAGCCTCGGTTCCGGCTCTGTTTCTTGGCGGTCTACCCGCTCGTCTTCGATTCTCTGCTCCTGTTGTGAGGCTGAGATCTACGCCGGGACCATGGCTGCTCAGGAGCTACGCTGGCTCACCTACCTGCTGACCGACTTGGGAGAGCAGCCTCGTTCGCCACCAGTTTTGTACGTAGACAACAAGGCCATGATTGCCTTGTGTCAGGAGCACAGACTGGAGCACAGAACGAAGCACATCGCTCTGCGATACTTCCTTGCTCGAGAGTTGCAGCAGTGTGGCCAGCTTTGTCTTGCGTACGTGGCCACTCGGGCCAACACTGCTGATGTCTTCACCAAGGCACTTCCGCCTGGTGATCATCAGCGCTTTGTTACTGTGTTAGGCCTTGTGCCTACTTTGCCTCACTTGCTTACTGCCTGAGTCTGCTTGTACTGTGATCTATATATAACTCTGCATGTGAACTGGCCTTGTGGCCCTTTGCTTGTACTCGGATTGTGTGGTGACTTTGTGATCCACCCTGAGCTTGCTTTGCTTTGCTTCTTCTCTTGATTGGTCTTGTGACCATTGCTTGCTCTTGCTATCCCCCACTTTGCCTATGGGGGTGTGTCAAACATATGCGTTTATATTTCTCTAGGCTGTAGTGGGTTTAGCCTTAGGGGGTACAGAACTTCTCTTAACATTCTACTTGTACCCCCCCCTTTCACCTAATGCACTCATTCTCGTGATTCTCTAACAAAGTTGAGATCTTCCATGGTTGAGTGCATTTCTGCACTTTCGTAGTTATGTTGTGCTTGTGCTACTTCGTGTTGATCTGGGTCGGTTGAGATGAATGCTGCTGTGCTGAGGTCTTCTGTAATGGGGATGAAGGGTTTTTGTCTGCCGATTATTATTCTCCGGTGTCTGTTCTGCTGCATCAACTTTGTCATGGTCACTTGCGTAACTGTGCTACCCCTGGAATATGTTGTCTGGTGTGTCTTATGCAGTGCGGTGCTGGCGGTACAGTGGCAACGGCAGACTTTCGTAGAAGATGCAGTCATGTAAACATGTGACTTGGTGGGTGGCAAAGTCGAAAATCGTCCAGACGTGGTATTTTGGTTTGATTTTGAGGTGGATGCCCCAACGGGCTCGGTCTTCAAACTTTCTAGTTCGGGTAGTGTGTGGTCGTTAATGTACCATGCAACCAAAAACCCGAAGCATGAGTGTATCCGGATTTTTCCTGGCCTACTCCTTGAAATGTGAGTTGTTGTTGGGCAGGTCTTTGGAGGAAAGGATGTTGTGCAATCGTACAGCATGTGCCATAGTGTAGGGCCAGTAGATGGTTGGCACGCCGAACTGCTTCATGAGGGCTCAATTTTTTGTCGTGAGACTTCTGTTGGTTCTTTCCGCCAATCCCTGCTGCTGGTGAGGAAGCGAAATCATCCTCTGGATCCCCTTTTCTGTACAGAGAGTTTTTAACTCATCTGTTTGATACTTTGATGCTCAGTTTATCTGAAAGGCCTTCAGTGTTTTTCCGTCGCTCTGTGTTTTCGCCATTTTCAGCCACAGACTAAAGCAGTGGTAAGCAAGATGGCGGTTGGTGACGTTCGTAACCCAGACGAAATGTGTGCCTGCGTTGATGAGGGTGATCGTATACGGCTCCCCTTTTAATCTCTTGGCTCTAGGTACCAGGAAGTCGTTGTAAGTACCAGGAAGTCACTGTAAACTTTGTCGAGGGGCTCGTAACGATCAATGCCAAGAACCTTTTATGGAAAGGGTGAGTGAGTTAAGGCGGCGATCCAGACAGACGGTGCAATTTGGTAAGTCTTCTCTGGGTTTGAGCAGGTTTCCGTTGGGCAGTAGCAGTGCGTCTTCTGCAAACGCTTTGCCTCGATGCAGTTGCTGAGGGTTTCCACTGAGGGGTGTCCAAGTCGTTTGTGCTAGATGTCAGCGTTAGGGCGATATCCTCGTGTGCGTGCGTACAGTCACTTTTCTCGTGCTAACATCTTCTCTGTTGTCACTTTTCTTGCTTCATCCGTAGGCTCTTCTGGCACAAGGACTTAGACAGCTGCCGCTTAAAGAGCTTCAATTCTCGCTCTGTGATATCCTCCACTGGAGTCGCCAATGGTCGTAGTGTCAATTGTTACGAGAAGTTGCAGTGGTCTGTCCGGAGACTTCGTCCTGGTCGTCGATCTTCCTGTTGGGTGATTTTGCCTTCTTCGAAGTTGGTGTCACTAAATGCTGCTCCACCTGTATTGAGCCGAAGGTAGCTCCTTCCGTCCGTTGTGACCGGATTGAGGTGAGGCCTGTATTTGGTTAATGGTTCTTCTATTGGAGCGGGTAATTTTGTTGCGTGTTCATAGACATTAATGATGATTTCTTCTCGTACAACTTCAGTAACTTTTGGTTCCCCTTCCTCTGTAGGTTCTTCAGTGACTGCGGGGCATCCTCCTTCAGCTTTGGTTGCTCCTCCAGGCCTGGCTCCCCATCTTGTTCCGCGCATTGCCCAGGCCGGATCCTAGCCTTCTCCCATGTTCCAGCCCGTTTGGTTTTCAACCTTGGACCAGGTTGGTTGTTCATGTTGTTTGGTCAAGCTGACTTCTTCTACATTTGATTGTGCTCCTTTATCTACAGGGTTCGTGGTCGAGGCGACTGGAACGGCAAGGGCGCGGCACAGTCCGTCTGAGCCTAGACGCTCCAGATTTGTTTCTTCTGGATGGGTCCAGACTGGCGATAGCGGATGCCCTGGGGGATCGAGCACAATGATGCGATCTTTGTCACCGAGTTTTCCTGGTGAGTCGAAGTTTAGCACAAACACTCCAATTTCGCTTTTCTCTTTGCAGATGAAGGTGCCTTAATGAAATAAAAGAAATTCTCCCTCGTGTGTGTGCAGTTTGACGCTGCACTTCACAAGCTGGTCGGCTGAAAGAAGGTTGAAGCGAAGATTCAGCACCACGAGTACATCGTTGATGTGGATGCAGAAGTTTGTGTCTTGCGACTCCAATTGAAACTGTCAGCGAATTTTTGCCCAGATAGACTGGTTTTTAGCGACGGTGATCTCCACTTTGTTGAAGATTGGTTCAATGTTGAGGATAAACTAGTTGGAGGAGACCATGTACTGTCCACAGCAACTATCCATGGATCACTTGTTAACGTCTCCGTTGTGTTTGGCGATGTTGGCGATGCACGGGGTTAGGTGATGTTCCATGTCATTTTCTTGATCATAATCCCATTTGTCGTCCATTGCGATGCGTGCAGGTGGCAACTCCGAGATCCATTGTGATGCTTCCCAATTGTACTCCATTCATCCGACTGTCAATTCGTCATAGGTCGGGCCCTTTTCTTCTTCTTCCTCGACTGGACCTTCCGGCCTTTCTTCAGGTGGGTCTTGGAACATGTCTCCCCAGGTGCAGAAGAAACGGTATTCGCGATGGATTGGGGGAGGTGAGTGTCGCACCATACACGTTAACACTTTGTTTTTCCCTTTGTTGTCAGCAAAGATTCGCGCTGGAGTTTGCGAAATGCTGGCGACGGCGGGTGGAGACATGGTTTAGTTGTGTGCGGGTGGTCTGGTGGCTTGCTGGTAAGAGACTCCTCCCTGTTGCCTTTGCGTTAAGTTTCCGTTGTTGTTGTTGCTGTTGCGCTTCCCGGATTCCTTGATGGTGTGCCCCATCTTCTTGCAGTACTTGTAGAACAACTTCCTTTTGTCTGGGGGTCCTTCTGCACTTGTATAAAATGCGGTCTTCTCTTTCTTGTTGCCTATCTCAATGTACAGATCAATCTTCTCCTGTTCGGCAAGGAGCGAGGCACAGAATGAAGTTTCACTGATGATGCCTTAGGTGTGAAGGAGTGACTTGCAGTGGCGCCATTTCGGGCTCAGTCTAGTGAGAATGATGGTGACAAATGTCAAATGCTGATATTTGTGATAGGCTGTTGTGAGGTGCTCCTTAGTGAGTACAACTCACTTAGGGTTTGCTATTTGTATCACCCACATTCCTAATCTCATCATTCCGTTGCATTCCTACTTTGAGATGGTATCACGAGTAGGTTAGTTCCTCGTTCTTTCCTAGCACGCGCCCTCCGCGCCCTCTCTGCGTCTTAGCGCCCTCCTCCTCCGTGCGTAAGCGCCCTCCGCGCCCCTAGCCCGTCGCCCTAGCCTGTCGCCCAGGCCCACGCCCTAGCCCGATGCCCAGGCCAGCGCCCAAGCCCGTCGCCCAGGCCCGCGCCCTAGCCCGTCGCCCAGGCCCGCGCCCCAGCCCGATGCCCAGGCCCGCGCCCTAGCCCGTCGCCCAGGCCCGCGCCCCAACTCGTCACCCTAGCCCGTCGCCCAGGCCCGCGCCCTAGCCCGTCGCCCAGGCCCGCGCCCTACCCGTCGCCCTATCCCGTCGCCTAGGCCCGCGCCCTAGCCCGTCGCCCAGGCCTGCGCCCCAGCCTGACGCCCAGGCCCGCGCCCTAGCCCGTTGCCCAGGCCCGCGCCCCAGCCCGTCGCCCTAGCCCGTCGCCCAGGCCCGCGCCCTAGCCTGTCGCCCAGGCCCGCGCCCTAGCCCGTCGCCCAGACCCGCGCCCCAGCCCGACGCCCAGGCCCGCGCCCTAGCCTGTCGCCCAGGCCCGCGCCCTAGCCCATCGCCCAGGCCCGCGCCCTAGCCCGTCGCCCAGGCCCGCGCCCTACCCGTCGCCCTAGCCCGTCGCCCAGGCCCGCGCCCCAGCCCGTCGCCAAGGCCCTCACCCTAGCCCGTCGCCCAGGCCCGCGCCCTGCCCTCGCACCAGCCCACGCCCCAGGCAGCGCCTAGCCCACCCTCTGCCCACGCCCTTTCCCCCCGTTAGCACTAGCCTTCACCCCTCCACCGCCCTGTTCCCCAGGCCCAAACCGTCCCTACTGTCACTGGCCTTCTGCTCAGCGGCTGGCAGCCGCTCCTCTCCCTGGCGACCCTCTGTAGCCTAGTCTCTAGCCTAGCCCCTAGCCTCCAGCCGCCTCTAGCCTAGCCTCCAGCATGGAGTCCCGCCGCCTTCGTTTCGATGCGGAGGGCCGCCCGATCGAGTTCAGTACCTGGCAGCGCCAGGCCACGCGCTACCTCACTAGTCAGCGTCAGGACGGCGCCACCCTGTGGGCCCACGCTTCTGGTGCCCTCAAGGCGCCCCTGCCTCCCGACCCCCTCCCGACCGACCCGGAGCCGACTCCTGCGGCGCAGGCGGACTACGACCGTCGTGTCTTGGCAAGGGACGTGTGGGACTCTCGCGACGCTGCCACTGCTCTTGCGCTGACGGAGCTCCTCCCACCGACTGAGGCCGTCCACTTTACCCAGGTGGATACTGCGCAGGGGATTTGGGATGCTGTTGTTGCGAACTATTCCACCCCTTCCTCTGCCTCCCTCAGTCGCCTCCTCATGCCGTTCGTGTTTCCCGACCTTGGCTCGTTTTCGACTGTGTCCGACCTTGTGACTCACCTGCGTTCACTTGACGCCGGTTTCCGTGCGGCCTGCATCAATGCCCAGCTTCTTGTTGCTCCCCCCCCCCCATGTGGCTCACTGTGCACTGGTTAGTCACAGGCCTCCTTGACCGCCTCGCTACTGCTCGCGTCGTGCTTCTCCAGAAGCACCCGACTGAGCTTACTATCGATCTCCTTGAGACCACTCTCGGGAAGATCGAGAGTAACCTCCTCTCCGTTGCCTCCGCCACTGACGTAGTGCCTCCCGATCTTTTTGCGGGGTGTGCCGCCCCTCAACTTCCCACTTTCACTACTACCCGCGCTTCTGCTACTGTGTTGGTTGTTGAGGACACTGCTGCCGTCTCTGCCGCTGACTGGCAGAAACGGGGCAAGAGTGGCAAGAAGGGCGGGAAGGGAGGTGGAGGAGGCGGTGGTGGTGGCGGTGGAGCTGGGAGCGGTGGTGGTGGCGGAGGCGGTGGTGGTGCCCCAGGAGGAGGGATCCTTGGAGGAGGTGCAGGACAGACATGCCCACCTACTAGCGGTGTTCAGACCGGCGGGGGTGTCGGACCTCAGCAGCAGCCACAGCAGCACCAGCCACAGCAGAGACAGCAGCACCAGCAGGGACAGCAGCAGCAGCAGGCACCGCAACAGTTCCAGCCTTGGGGGCCCCCACTGCAGTGGGGTCCGCAGCAGCACTGGGGCCCCCCGCCGCAATGGGGTCCGGGAGGACCAGGGAGCTCCGGCCGCAGCAGCAGCACTTCCAGCTGGGCCCCTTGCCCCCCTCGCCGTGACACCGGCCCCTGTGACCACTGGTGCCTCACCGGACCGAGCAGCCCCTGTGTCTGCGGCCACGACAACCACTCTGCCGCGCGGTGCTTCTGCCGCCTCGACGACCTCTACCGTGCCCGTTGGGGCCCTGAGGCGACCACTCCACGCTGGGCTCACCTGCTGGCTTGTAAGATTCCTGTCTTTGATCCGTCTATGGATGATGCTCGTCAGTATGCTTTGTATGCTGATGTTGATTATAGTGCTGATGGATTTGTGTGCTCGTGTGTTGGTAGATTAGCTTGCTTGCCTCCTGTTAGTGTAGACTTGTGACTCTCCAGTCTAGGTGCTTGTGTTTCTGCTCTAGGTGCTTGTGTAGCTTCCCCACTGGGTTCACCACAGGGTGTGGCGTCCCTGTCCTTCATGCTGGACTCTGGCGCGTCAAAGTGATTCTGCAACCACACGACACTCACACCACTCCTTGCTCCAGTACCGGTAGCCCTGGCTGATCCTTCCTCAGGACCAGCCGTGGCACCCATCTCTACCACCCTCCCGTGCCCTGTGGTCCCCTCTGGTGTCCTGCGCGGCCTCCACATCCCCTCGTTCACTCGGAACTTGGTGGGTGTTGGATACCTCCAGGACAGGGGGATCACTGTTACCTTTGTGGGGGGTGGGCAGACTGCAGTCTGTACGGACGCTGTCAATGGCAGAGTTTTGGCCACGTTCACCAGGGAGCCGCGCTCCGGTCTCTACGTCCTCCACACCGAGCACTCCCTGATGTCCACGTCACCTCAGGTCGCTGCGTCCCCCCAGGTTCCTGCGCCTCCGCCGGTTGTCGAGTCCAGTCAGGTAGCTGCGTCCCCTCCGGTTGTCGCGTCTGGTCAGGTTGCTGCGTCTTGCTCGTGTCGGTCTTTCACCCACCGGACCGTCCTGTGGCACCACCGTCTTGGCCACCCGTCGATCCCTCGCCTCCGCACTTTGGCTAGTCACCGTCTTGTCTCAGGTCTCCGTCGCGTCTTCCCGTCGCTCCCTCCCTCGCCTGCACCCTCGTGCACTCCTAGTGTCGCCAGCCGTCTTCGTGCTGCTCCGCACTCCTCCTCTCTTCGTCCGGCCACTGCTCCCTTCCAGACACTCCACTTGGATGTCTGGGGCCCTACACCTACGCAGGGACCTGAGAGGGAGCGCTACTTTCTGGTGGTCGTCGACGACTTCTCCAGGTACACCACGGTGTTTCCTCTCGCGAAGAAGTCCGAGGTGACTTCTACGCTGATCCGGTGGCTTCTAGCCACTGAGGGCACTCGTGGCCGTCTCCTTTCTCCACTCTGACCGTGGGGGTGAGTTTCGCTCAGGTATTCTTGCCGGATTCTATGGCGAGTAGGGCATCGTGCAGTCATGGACGCTGCCGGAGTCCCCACAGCAGAATGGGGTTGTTGAGCGCCGCAATGGCTTGGTCATGGACATCGCCCACACGTCCATGATCCATGCCCGTGCGCCCCATTTTCTGTGGCCCTACGCAGTTTGCTACGCCGCTCACCAGCTGAACCTCCAGCCGCGCGTCTCGCGGCTAGAGGCATCAATGACCAGTCTTTGGACCGGGTCCCCTGGTGTTGGGTCAGCCTTTCGTGTCTGGGGCTGCCTTGCGCTTGTCCGCGACACCTCTGCGGACAAGCTCTCGGCTCGTGCCGTCCCCTGTGTCTTCCTTGGTTTCCCGGTAGCCTCGGCCGATTGGTCCTTTTACCACCCGCCCCTCCACCATTTCCTAGACTCCCGTGACATCCAGTTCGACGAGTCAGTGTCCTACTACACCTGGTACCCCTGTCGAGGTCTCCCGGTTCCCCCTCCCCCCCTTCTCCTTGCACCCTCTCTTCCCCCTGCTCCCGCTCCTCCGGTACCCCCACCTCCCCCTGGTCTTGCCCCGTCAGGTGTGTCTCACGCTACCCCTCTACCCTCGGTCGCGAGTCAGGTAGTGTCTCCCTCCCCGCAGTCCTCCTCACAGTCCCCTCAGCAGCCTTCGGCACTTCCGCGACAGGTTACTGTGGACTCGGTTGGTGTTGGAGCTGGAGGTGTAGCCACTGGCGGTACTCGTTCTGGGGGTGCTCGTTCGAGGGGTGCTGGAGCTCGAGGTGCGGGCACGGGAGGTGCTAGTTCTGGGGGTGCTGGAGTTGGAGGTCCTGGCACTGAGGGTGCTAGGACAGTGGGCGCTGGAGCTGGGGACCCTGACCCTGTTGGTACCCCTTCTGGGGACACTGGTTCTGGGGGTGCTAGTTCTGAGGCGACTGGAGCTGGGGGCACTACGTCTGAGGAGAGCACTCCGCCTCCCCACCGCCACGACACGCGTTACCAGGAGGCCTGCCGACGTGCGCGCGAGGAGTAGGAGCGGTTGGAGCGGGAGCGGCAGGAGTTGCGGCAGTTGGACCTGCTGGAGCAGCAGCAGCAGCGGCAGCAGCAGCAGCCGCAGCCGCAGCCACAGCAGCAGCAGCCACAGCAGCAGCAGCTACCGCCGCCGCCACCGCAGCTGCAGCAGCTCCCTCTGGAGCGGCAGTTGTTCCCGCCCGTGAGTGGCCTCCGGGCCCTTGGTCTTCCCTCCTCTCCTGTCCGCCCTCCGTCTCTCCTGCGTTTGGTCCTATGTTTTCTCCTCTTGACGACCGTCCGGCGGTCTGGTCTTCTCCTCCACCGCAGTCTCCTCCTCCTGTTGTCCGTCACTACCGTTCCCGTCCTTGTCCTCCGAGTGCTCATCCCTCGTCCCCCGTTACCGACCTCCACACTGCCCTCCTTTGTACCTCTCTTTGTCGTTCTCCTCCTCCGGTGTCAGTTCTCCCGTCTCCTCCTTGGTCTTCTCTTCCTGTCTCCCCTACTCCTATCTCCGACTACTACCGTGCTGTTCGCCCTGTTGTCTCCCGCATTCTAGCCACTGGTGTCACCGACCCTCGTTTCTCTCCGTCATCTGTCTCGGCTCTCACTGCCGCTGTCACTGAATTTGCCGCCGCCAGCTGTCTTGACTACAGCACTCGTGTGGTGCCCGCTCCGCCTTCCCGTCCTCTGTCAGTCAGAGGTGAGTTTGCCCTTGGCTGTGACGTCCTAGAGGACAGGCACTCTGAGCTGGAGTACCTGACAGCCGCTTCTCCCACTCTCTGTGCCATGCTACTTTCCCCTGAGGGATACCCCGACGCCCTTGACATACCGACACCTCGCACGTACCGTGAGGCAGTGTCACGGCCGTGGGCCTCTCAGTGGAAGGTGGCCATGGACTCAGAGTTGGCATCTTGGAGATCCACAGGCACGTACGTCGACGCAGTTCCCGCTCCCCGGGCGAACGTAGTTGATGGCATGTGGCTCTTCAAGGTGAAGCGGCCGCCTGGATCACCCCCGGTGTTCAAGGCGCGCTATGTGGCGAGAGGCTTCAGTCAGCGCGAGGGAGTTGACTTCTTTCAGACCTTCGCTCCGACCCTGAAGATGATTTCACTTCGGGTGTTACTACATGTAGCAGCACAGCGTGACTATGAGCTGCACTCCCTCGACTTCTCCACTGCCTTTCTCCAGGAACGATTGCACGAGGAGATCTGGCTGCGCCGTCCTCCTGGTTTCACTGGTACTTTCCCTACTGGGACCCAGTGGAGCCTGAGGCGACCAGTCTACGGTCTTTGCCAGTCGCCCTGTGAGTGGCACAACACTCTTCGCTCCACGCTTCGTGACCTAGGGTTTCGCCCTTCCTCTGCTTGTTAGAATGTGAGAGAATGGAATGACTGAACTAGAAAGCAGGTGGGTACAAGTAGGAAACCCAAAAGTGTTGTACCCAATAAGGACTACCCCACTACAGCCTAAATAGACTATAACATATAAGTTTGACACACCCCCATAGGCAAAGTGGGGGAGAACAAGAGGTCACAAGACCAGTCAAGAAAGACAAAGCAAGCTCAGGGTGGATCACAAAGTCACCACGCAGTCTGAGCACAAGCAGAGGGCCACAAGGCCAGTTCACATGCAGAGTTATATAAAGGAAAGCAAACAATACAGTGAACACAACCTAGCAAGTGTAAGCATGCAGGTATATGTATATATAGTACAGTACAAGCAGAGTCAAGAAGTAAGCAAGTGAGGCACAGTAGGTACAAGGCCTAGAACAGTACAGAAACGCTGATGATCACAAGGCTGAAGTGCCTTGGTGAAAACATCAGCAGTGTTGGCCTGTGAGGCCACGTAAGCGAGACGAAGCTGGCCACGCTGCTGCAACTCTCGAGCAAGGAAGTAGCACAGAGCAATGTGCTTCGTTCTGTGCTCCAGTCTGTGCTCCTGACACAAGGCCAGCATGGCCTTGTTGTCGACGTACAGAACTGGAGGAGAACGAGGCGC